CCATTTCAACACCATCTCCCATTCTCATTAAACATATGACTTAAATTAAAAATAAGGGTACAGAATCTTAGTGTTGACGTGTGGTTTTGATGAAGTTGGAGAATGTGTTGCCTCAATGTTAATTTCGTCCACTCTTATGGATCAGCAGGTGTGACTGAGGAATCTCCAGACGTCGGTGCTTTGGCCCTCCTCTGCTGTTCTCCATCCAGCCTCATAATATCGCAGCATGGCCAAGAGGAGGAGCGCGGAAATGGAAACGCTGCTAGATGAGTGTAATGAGGTGCACCTGGTGCTTACTGCCTCATCACTGCATCTCAAACTGTGATTTTTCATCATGAAAGAGATTCCAGCAATGAATGCATGAAGTGATCCTAGACCCCTAGGTAGGGTTGCAGCAGCCATTCATAAGTTCTTAAGGGATAAACTGAAACCAAAAATGGACCCTAAAATGAAAATTCAGGCATCAGCAACAAACAGTTGCTGGTAGCCACTGACTTCCATAGTATGGAAAAATACTACAGAAGTCAATGGCTACCAGGAACTGTTTGGTTACCAACATTCTTCAAAATATATTATTTTATGTTCAACAGAAAAAAGAAACTCATACAGGTTTGGAACAACACGAGGATGAGTAAATGATGAATTTTGGGTGAACTATCCTTTTAAATGTGAAAATAAAGTCCACACTTGAGGCTTAGTAACTACTAGCTAGTTTGTAACTAACTCTGCACTTTATTCGGTGGCAGTGGCACCATTTGTTCTTAAGGCAGAAGGTAACTAGTAGGTTGAAAGTTCTTCGTAATGCATAGTCACATTATATGATGTGTACTCTCAATGATCCAATAGCAGCCTTCAAAGTTTGGGCAAAAGTTATGCTGAAATGCCGTAAATTTCCATTCATCCTTGATTCGAACTTATTTTGCCTCACTTCACAAATGGTAAAAATATGTTTCCATTGAAGTATGATACTACTAAATCATGAATAACATAATAGCTATTTTTTTTTATGTAAACAACATTCAGAAACATTATATGATGCAAAAAACATGAGAAATTACATTTAGTTATGTTTGTTCACTGTATTAAAATGTAAATGTCAAAATTATCATATGTTTAAGGGATTGAATTCTGTCAGGTAAACAAGAGCTTATTGATGGGATTCAGTCAACCTGCTTTTTTATTCCAACCTGGTCGGTGGTTTCCATAAATATTTCATTTAATATTTAGAATATTTTTAAATAGTTAAATAGTTTTAAATATTTCGAGTTAGATTTCAACTAAGTTTAATGGTGCAATGCAAAACTATTTAGTAGTGTGGAAGTTGTAATGTCAAAAATATGCTGAGCTGTAACTTACACACAACTGGTACAACTGGTGCAACTGGCCCTGGACCTGCTGGACTGATCTCATCCCCCATTTCCTGCACAACGAGGAACTCACATCCCGTTTTCATCTTTTGGCTTATTTTTCACTAACTCGTACATGGGCCCGGCCCCCTACCTTTGTTTGTTTTATTATTTTGTCACAGGTTTAAAAGCCTTTCTGAGGCATGTCACTGCTAATCCCATTGTGGATGTGTTCGCTTCCCATCACCCTGGCTAATTAGAGATCTACTCATCTGGTGTTAATGGGAGATTAGTCCACAAATTAGGACTTCTGTAAGCTTATCCTCAGGAAGGCAAGACCAGTCCAAGTCCACAAATATATTAATTAGAGAATGGCAAGATTTCTTTTCCATTTATGATATTTCCCCGACTCATTCACTGTCATAAGTGAAAAAGTGTACCTTTAGGGGTACAACGACTTGTCACTTGGGCAGTACCTCAAAGGCACAGCTTTGTACCTTATCTACACCTAAAATGTGCATGTTAGTACCTTATGGATCGTTTCCACCGAGCGGTACGGTACAGTTTAGTACAGTACGGTACGCAATTTTTTTCAGAAGTTGTGAATGGTACCAAAATAGCAAACCGTACCGTACCACTGTTTTGGGACCCTTCCTTTGGGGTTACTAGCACAGTAGTCCAGTACCTAAAGGGTGGAGCTAGACTCACTGCAGAACGTTGACTGGTTGACAGAGAATCGTCACTTGCGCGTACTACAATGGGAATGACAACACAAGGGGATAGAAGGTGTTCCGCCATGCTGCTCGTGCGTGTTGGGCTTGTTCACATCAGAGTGCGCAAACACAAAAAAAAACAGTGTATTTTATAATTGTATATTTTCACACTCATACACACAGATAATGTCGCGATTTCTTTTTCACGCTAGTATGACATCGATCGCTACTTTCCAGCATACACCACGCTAGGCCTGGGCAATAAAACGGTATTGATATTTATCGACAGTACACCTTCATCGATAACGATATATAAAATGTTCGATATAGGCACGTGTTATGAGTGACACAGACAGCACACATGAACACGAACACATGCTGTAATGACTGCCTGTGATGAGGAGATTGTGAATAAAAAATAAAAAAATAAACATTTGCATTTTAATGCAAAAATGATGCAATCGAATGTTATTTGTGCATCAGGGAGCATCATTAGTGGTGCACATGCAGTGATGATGTAAGTGACGTTGTTGCATTTGAATGTTTTGTTAGTCTAGCCCACGAGACGTGCCGTTACTGCATTATTCGTTCAAAATATTAGAGAAATATACTGTAGTAGCTCAATGCGTAGAAGATCTTGATTAGGTTAAAACCGAAACCAAGCCATTCAACAAGAACGCATATTCAGCAAATTTTTTAGACGGACAAATATGACTGCTGCACTCGCGTCTCATGCAAGTGATGCAAAGAAAGCCAGGCAAAGTTAAAACATTTAAACTTTTAGAAAACGCGACGCGAATTTGTGAAGGTTTATTTCATTTCATTGCATCTCATATGTTTTTTAATGCAATTTTTGTGATCAGCGATTTGGCTCTTTGTATTAGGCTAAGCAATGTATAAATACATGATGCTGTTTTGTTCATAATTGTTTATGCAGTTTACAAAATTATATTTGATTTATATATGTTAATTTAGACGTTATGCACGTTTTTATAGACAGTTATTTGCATTGACAATTTAATGCGCTGCATTATTTTGCTCATTGCGCCCTCCTGTGGCCTCGGGAGACAAGCCAAAAGTTTCCTTAAGACTTATTTAATCTGCATATAAAACATAATAAAGGAGATATTTGTTAAAATTGTATTTTGTCTGTTAAAAAAAATGTTGTTTGTCTTAATAAATTGGGCAAATTAAAAATACAGTGGTTAAATTTTTTAATTTTTTTCTATTGCTCTGTTTTAAAATTTTTTATAAAAAATGTCAATAATTATCGATACAGAACGATATGAAACATATATCATTGATACATTTTTTAGCTATATTGCTCAGCCCTACGCCACGCCTTTCAAGTAAGGGTACTGTTGGCAGTGGAAACGCAAGCTGGATCAGGGTGTACCATCCTGAATCGTACCGTACTGTACTGTACCCATGTAAGGCATTACTATGAACCTTTAACCAGTAACAAGCTGTTGTATCCAAATTTTGCAACATTTTTTCTGACAGTGCACTCTCAGAAAAAAAGGTACAAAAGCTGTCACTGGGGCGGTACCCTTTCAAAAGATACTAAGTATCTTAACTAATAAGTATCTTACTAAGTATCTCTTACGTACTATTAAGGTACTAATATGTACACTTGAGGTACTAATATGTATCTTTAAGGTAATAATATGCACCTTTTAGGAGTAAATAAGGTATATCGGTGTAACTTTGGAAAGGTTCCGCCCCAGTGACAGCTTTTGTACCTTTTTTTTCTGAGAGTGTGTTGATGTCTTCAAATTTTGTTCAATGTGCTATTTTAATGTGTTGCATTTTAAAATTGTATTACAGTAATTGATCCACAGAAAAATGTAAGGGATCATGTCATGAGTAATCAAACTTTCTCTGATCTAAATGAATTCATGATACTATGAAAAATAACAATGTAAGAACCCAAAAATTCCCCCCTGGAGAAATTTAAGCTGTACTAAAAAAAACTTATTCAGAAACACCAAGGGTTGTTAGCTGGTTAGCATGGATCAGCAAAAAGCCAAATTCTAATTCTAAGTGAAGGTGAAAAATGGTCATAAAAAGATATATTATTACTGTTTAGAGCAAAATACTTCATTCTAATTTCTAACATTATGTGGACCTTGGGGGAAAACAACAATAATGAAAAAACAATGAATATCCTCGTTTTAAAATCACATATTAAACCCTTTATCAGCTTTTTGTCCATATTTTCGACTTGGAACGACATACACAAATTTCTATTCCTCTCATGTAAACCAGCCACTTTGGCAGAACAGTTTTGGAAAATTGCCAGGTTCTCTTGGTGAAATGTTAGCTGGCTTAGAGACTGACCACACATCTGCCAACACAAAAGTAAAAGCGTAGGATTCCTGGAGGAGATCCCTCAGTGGAATTCCTTTTTTTTTTTGTCCGCCATGCCTCACATCAGAGAGATTTTAACTACATTACTTCCTCGAGCCATGTGTGCCGATGGCAACCTGAGTGTACTACTCGGTGATGCACTAATACAGAGATTAGAGATATCAATGGATATTGCAAACAAGACATAGAATAAGACATAGAATAGAATATTCTAGACATAGAATAACCGAACACTGACTTCCTGTTAAAATCACAGTGTTAACACACTAAACACCCCCTTGGGTCTGCTTAAAACAGAGGTCTTTGGAAATGTGACTAATTTTTCCAGTTTTTATCAGCATTGGGATTACATTTCTAGCCCAGCTTTGCCAACCTTTTGATTTAAGATATTAATATTTATTTACGTCACAGAGGATGTAATTAGCACAAATATGTGGCATGAATTCTTCAAGTATGTGAACCCTCTCATGTAAACGTTGCATTTTGAGGGAAAAAGAGAATTGTTAATGATTATGCAAACGAATAATCACATTGCAGGTTTTATGAAGCAGATATTGGCTATGGCACAAACCTGCACGAGGTTCCACCCCTCCAACGATTCAGCGATGATCGAAGTCACTGACGGACACACTCCTCCAAAGATCATCAAATGTTTCGGACCGTAGCAGATTGCATCAAAGAAGGCCCGCAATCCCTTTGCGTTGTCACACTGAGGAGAGAAAAAGGGAGGTAAAGTAAGTCAGAAAAGTGCATAAATATACATAGAATGGTAAGATCAATCATAATGACATCAGCAGGTATACTTGCTTTCAATTCATTCACTTAGAAAGTGGGTTTCAACCTTGAGAGCTTTTTCTTGATTTATATTCCTCATGTACAAACATACAGCACAACCAAAAATCCAGTGCATGTTTCTTTCATATTATGCTGTAATTGAAAAATAGACCTCAAATTTCTGAATGTGAAAACATGTCTGATGTACAGGAGAGCCCGACTGCTGCGGCAATATGCACCCATTTCATATCACTATGGCAACGCTTTTGGCTCTGTAGAAGTTCTGAAGGAAAGAAAAGATGTTGCAGGGCTATTGATTGTGATGTGAGCCTCTAACTGTTTTATCTTTGATTTTCTGATGCTGGTAATGATATTTCAGTCCCTGGTAAACACTTCCGGAGGTCAATTAACAGTAGTCAGCTTGACCTGACTCAATCCTGGCCATAACCAGAAATGTCTCAACATTGACCTGGTCAAGAATTTCCTCCTGCCTTTTGCCCTCACTTGCTTAAGTGTCTTCTTGTCTTGTTTTAACCAAAGAACACATTTAGTTTTGAGATTTAATACAGCAATAGAAGTTTATTGTTATTATTAAATAAATAAATAAATGAAAACTTCTAAAACATTTTGGTTAGGGGCAAAAAAAAATTGAGTGTGGGGATTTATTAGGAGACCCCAATCAATCAATCAATAAATAAAGCGTGTATGTGTGTTTGTGTGTGTGTGTGGCTCCTGTCTGCCGTGCTGCTGAGTGGTTTGCGATTGAAGCTCCGTGTAGCTCTGTTTTGGAATCTCTTTCTTACTATCACTCTCTGTTGTTTAAACTGCTAAAATATAACTTAATTCTCACCATTTTTCTGATATTATCAAACTAATTTGACATTGTTCGCTTGTTAATCTAAACTGCTAGTGCAGCGCATTAGCATTCCATTAGCCTGTTAGCTTGTCATACCGTTTCTTTTATCTCTCTCACTCCGCTTTTTACGTGTTCATCAAACAACAGTGATAAGTCGGAATTATTCAACAATCACGGTAAGTAATGGCTTCTTCTGTTATTCTCAAGTGCACTGTATGCCACATGTATAGTGTAGCCTTCTCTGTCAGCGTCGAGGGATTCACATGTGATAAATGAAGGGAAGCATAAAAAGAAGAGAAGATTTCAGAACTAGAGACACTCATCCAAACTTTAATTGAGGATAGTAAGAATGCGAGGGCCTTAGATACAGCTTTGGATGTGACTAGCTAAGTGAGTCCTGTTCATTGTTCGGTAACTCCTTGTTACAAATATAGTAGAACATCACTTCTACAACAAAAGACTGCTTTGTAAATAACCTTCCCAATTTGTCTCAATTCCTCAACATATCTTGTAGCTCAGAAAAACTCATGATGCTCTTGATGGTGTAACAGAAACTATTGACTTTTCTAGCACTTTAGACACAGTCACTCCTTTACACTTAAGAAGATTAAGGAAAACAAACACAACCCCAGGTATTTTTTCAATACAGTGACTAAATTAACAAAAAAATAAAGCATCAGCAGGCGCAGACATTTCCCAACAGCACAGCAGTAATGACTTTATGAACTACTTTACTTCCAAGATCGATACTATTTAAGATAAAAATTATAACCATGCGGCCGTCAGCTACAGTATTGTATCAGACAGTGCACTATAGATTCCCTGAGGAAAAATTCCACTCATTCTCTGCTATAGGACAGGAAGAACTGTAATACTTAGTAAAACAAGTAATACAAGTAAAAACTTGTTAAATCATCTAAACCAACAACATGTATGTAAGATCGTATACCATCTAAGCTACAAAAAGAGGTGCTTCCAGAAGTCATAGATCTTCTTCTGAATATCATTAATTCAACTTTGTCATTAGGATATGTCCCAATAACCTTCAAACTGGCTGTTATTAAGCCTCTCATTTAAAAAACACAACTTAATCCTGGAGAATTAGTTAATTACAGACCGATCTTAAAACTCCCTTTTCTGTCAAAGATACTAGAAAAAGTAGTCTCCTCACAACTATGCTCTTTCTTAGAAAAAAATGGTTTCTGTGAGGATTTCCAGTCAGGATTTAGACTGTATCATAGCACTAGGGCTGGGCGATATGTCAAAAATATCTTATCGATAATCGCCTTTAAAAAATCACAATATCCAATAATATTGTCTACCTAAACTGGAGCGAGCTCTGGGCGGGAGTGAGCCACGACCGACGGGCTTGACTTGGGAATGGCCAGTGGGCTTGCCACAGAAACGGCCGGCGGGCTTGCCACAAGATCGGCCGGCGGGCTTGCCACAGGATCTTCGGAATTAGACTTTGGAACGGCCGGCGGGCTGGACTTCGGCGCGGCCGGCGCGCTAGACTTCGGAATGGCCGGCAGGCTGGAGAAAGCCGCGGCCGACGGGCTTGACTGATCGGAGGTGAACGGCAATGAACATTGCTCGTTCCTCCATAATCTCGGGGGAAAAACAAACGGAAAACAAAAACACTTTGAAAAACCGGAAAATAAACACGGGGAGAAGAGGCGCCGCTCACTTTTAGTTTGGGTCTGCTGTTCTGTCACGGTCTCTCGGGGAGGAAGGAACGAAGGAGACGCTGGAGAATACGTAAACTAGAATTTAATACAAAATAAACAAAGAC